ATACATATATATATATATATATATATATATATATATATATATATGTATATATATATATATATATATTTATTTATTTTGTAAATGCAACGAATATAATCCTATACTAGACGACGGGTTTTACTAATGCCGATTTCATTCTAAAATTATGATCACAGACGTGCTGAAACCATCCACTAGACACCAATAACCTTTAATATTTAATGTATTTGTATGTTTATATGTGGACAGTCTTGTGATGTTCTTTCACTTTTATTGCGAAGTTTGTCTTCTTTCTCAAAAGAAAATATATTTCGTCCCCAAATACTTCCTTGTAAAGCATTGAGTGGGCGAATATGTAAATACTAAGGTACCTGAATTTCTGCACTGCATGGCTTTGTTAGTTACGCCTTAGATTGTTGATTTTACAGTGAGTTGTCGAGAAACGGACCTATACGATGATTTTGCTGTTTCAATTGTTTGCTCCAATTAAACACAGCATGACCCTATAAATTTGCCACGTCTATCGTCACAGCATACTTTTATTGCCCAAATATATATAATGTGTATGGATAACGCTAAGTGCTTCTCTAACGACAAATCACAGCCGCGAGTAAAGTAATGTCAGCGACCGGTCTGATATGGTTTAGCACTGTATACGCGTTTTGACGCATTAGCAAGAAACGCAACGCCTACTAAATTTAGACGTTGACTGGAAACGATCGGGAGTAAGCGCTAAGCGCTAGTTTCGACGCAGTTAAACATTTCGCAAGAGACGAGCTTCGTTCACATTAGAGCAAACTAGAAAGCTTTGACGCGTGCAAACCAGAGCAATGGAAAATGTGGTACTATTTGACTTGGTTCACGCTAGACCAATGCTCTAGTGTGAACCAAGTCTAAGAGTACGGAGCTCTTGCGCCCTAATTTGTATCGTTCTTCTAGTTGCGTTTGAAGCGTTTCTAGTGTGAACAGAGCTTATGTAAATGAGGCTACGCGTATCACAACCAATCCTAAGGCGGTACTACGTAGGGCCTAATATAGCAGAATGGAGTACTGTATTTACATTTTAAGGCGATACATGGACCAGACCGAGTTGTGTAATAAATCTGTGCTGACTGAGCCCTACTCCATTTGTAGCTTTGCATTCATATACCACCAAATAGGCCTACGCGTTATCATCGCTTGTGTCTATAGGAAACTCCATTATAGAGCATCCTGCACGGCACACGATTAACGCCGATTAATTTCTCAAATTTGCCCTTTGCTTCGGTGTATTGTTATTTTTATCATCAAAGAAATGCCGCATATTTTATGGTTGTCGCAGCAAATACAACTCGAGTTCTACCCACTGACTAATTTGACACACATTTTCATATAGGCTTAGATATGGGTCATATGACTAAGAGAGGTCTTTCTATCCTATAAAACAACAGTGGGACTCAACATTCTACATAACGCATAAATATTTAAGAATTTCAAATTTATATTCTTTAATGCATAAACAGTTGGTAGTTATCGTGTCACTATGGTGCCTTCCGTCCTCTATATTGCGCAACGCAAATGTTTTTAATCATTAGGCCTATCGCATTATATAGCACACTGGAAATCAGATAAATCAATATAGGCCTCATACAGTGCGTTGACACTAAACGTAGATTGATGGATCCACGTGGCCGCATGCCCGTGTCTGCTTTTGATGAAAATCGACACAAACTATTGTAGAAGAAAGTTGAGGAATATAATATAATATAATATAATGAAATGTAATGTAATGTAATATAATGTAATGTATGTTATGTAATATAATGTAATATAATATAATATATATATATATATATATATATAAATTAAATGTCATAATACTGAAAAACAATGCTGTAGGAAACAATGGCTGGATCTCAGTAGAGATACAAATTTGATAAGCAACAGTTAAAAAGTAAACCTAAGTAAACAGCCAGAAATCTGTCTCTTATACACATCTAGATGTGTATAAGAGACAGACATTATTGTATGCAATTGAATTTATCAAATTGAAGTTAAAGTCTAAAGGCCTCACCAATGGCAATGTGAGTGACGTAATTGGCAATTGTTGCAAAACACGTGCAAAGTTCACATAACATACGCGTGAGCAACATTTTTGCACGCAGCATAAGGGTGTTCCCCGGGGATGGAGGAATCTGAAATCTTTAATTTATGACTATTACAGTATTTGCCGATTCTAAATATATTCGCTTTTCTCTCCAACCAAACTACACGTGCGCCCTCATCGATCATAAAATTAAGACTACTACAAACTTACATGACGAACGTAAAAATATTAAAGATCCAATATGCTAAAATCACATCACATTTTATCATACCAGCCTATGAAAATATGGCATATTGCTGCCGTCATTCCGCTACTGCTATTTGATAATTTACACTCCCAATTATATCTCAGAAGCAATAAAAATATGTTTGTAAACCGTGCAGCTATTTCAGTTGTGAAAAAAAAAATCCTTTTTGCGTTGGATACTCATTGTTAACAACATGATCCTTACTAGACTATTACGGGTTTATGTCGAATGTGATAAGTTCACAAGAATTGTACTATTTATTTTGCATTTTATCCACATGGTTATCATCTGGTGAAGATGATGTTTAATTGCTAGTTTTAAGATAGGCCAGGACCATTAGTCGATACCGTGTCAGCAATTATATTAATTAAAACTATCATTATATCCATTATCATCAATTGTGTGTCTTGAATTTTTACATCATATTTTACAGAGATTATTTATATCAAAAATTTAAGTTGATGAACCTATCATGACTGATAATTAACATAAAATAAAACGACAGCATTGTTTATTTCCGTCGATTGTTGTATGTATCGTATAATAATCACAAGATAATTTAATTCATGTTCTTACTACTTATAATTCATTATTATCATATTGTGATCTTTGCACCATAGTAGTTCCAATTAATTGGAAATCACGGAGCGTCTGTCGGCTCCGACCAGATGAAGATCAATTCTTAGGCCTAATGTCTTCCGTCGACATTCTATTAAACATAAACTTCGACATTATTTACACACTTAGAATTATTGAATTCATTCATGGCTTCGATAATTAGCTTAGGGGTTATTCTAATATAGGTCTATGCTGCCTCAATAGAATCAACTAAAATAAAATAAAAAAAATAAAAAAAAAAACCCCAAAACACCGGGATACGATAATTTTCGGAAGTGCTTTTTCAGTAGTAGTTTTCAATTATAGAGCTAGGCCTAGATAGGCCCACTTACAGTAGGCCTAGTCTTCTTTTGAATAGGCTTACTTGAATTAAGTTTGCGGTATGTCTTAAAATAAAGAAGCAAACTCCCAGAGAGACTTGGCTTTTTGGCCAAATATTCAAACAAAGCGACATAGACAACCATTTTAAAATTACACAAACCATATTTGAATTTCCTGTCTCTTGACAGGCCTAATCCTAATGATGGGTGTGTTTACAGGAAGAGGGTGCGGAGTTTGCCAAAATTATAATAACAGACAAAGGATGAAACGTTTTTCGATGTTATTAGAGTTGTCTTTACAAGCAAATCTGAACAAAGTTCAACTATATTATTTTGCATAGAAAAGTAAACATCGAATTTGGCGCGAAGTCAATGGGCGACTTCGGTTTAGGATACCGGAAGATTTAGCTGCGCTGACGTCAGTCACTACTTTGCTGAGCGTTCCAGGTTACCAGGCTATTGACCAATCAAAAGTCGTTACGGTCCATCAATCATATTCTTTGGCGTCTTTCTGGACCAGTGAATTCGCCGATGGGAACCACCCACGTCGGTAGCACCGGGTTAGAAGCTGTAGTTAAACCACAGATTCACCAACACGTGCAGACGGATAGTCGCTGCTTAGCCAGGTTCTTTATTTAGTTTCAGGAATATTAGTAGCGTAGTAAGAATGGCGGCTGATGGCCAACAGAATTTAGGGGGCTCAGATTCACACGATCCCGGGTAAGTTTTCGATCTAAACAAGCTTTGATCTCTGCTTGGATATACTTGCTTAAGTATTTTCTATTCTTACTCCATAGCCAAACGATTGTCAGTGAGCGAATAAGACACCGGCGCTAAGACGATCAGCTGGGCTCAGCCAATGGCTAGGTTCATCACATAAACAATAGCTTGCATTACATTTGTGTGTTGATCGCAAAGGTTGATGGTTACATTTCTCATTCCTTGAAATTTGTCTTGTATCTTTCAACTGTAAACATGTCTGATTCTGATAACTCTTTGCATTTCAGTAAGATGTTTATAGGCGGACTTAGTTGGACAACTACCACAGGTAAGCATAAGCTTTGGCGTTTAACCACAAACTACAAGTGCACGTAAATTCCTTCTATTGGTGTTTACCCTAGGCCTCGAAGGAAACGGAATATTTTTCAATTGAATCATACTTAACGGCTATGCTTGGGTTGGTATAAACAGTCGAGAATTGTAGTCTGTTAAATCAAGCGAATATTGACTACGAAAACTGCTGTGGTACCAGCACACAGATGATATGTCAGTATTTTATTTCATATTCTGTCACTGTACAATCATGATATCAGTTGTCAATATATTTAGATTAAGAAGATATAATTTTAACAGGTTCTGAGCAATGCTTGTTTATCAAGAGAATCTTTGCTATTGAATTATTATAAACATCAGCATTTATACCATGATACACATATGGATGTATTTTCTACATATTTGAGGCATAATCTACTAAATACACAGAAATTTAGATACATAGTAATAAACAGCGTATCCTTGAATGAAAACAAATGTATTGTAATATGTAAAATTGCATTGCAATTTATACAGTGCCAGCTGTAAATTTTGAAATAGTGTTTATAATTCTAATATTCACGTTGTGTACTCTGTAGTAACAGCTTCATATCATATAATGCCACAAATTATTTTAAACACCATATGTCCATTCAAGTTATACTTGATATTTTCAACTTTGGTCACACAATCATAAAAATTTTGAGAAGTTCTACCCAGTTAAAAGCCTCTTGAGTAGATAACAATACTCTGTTTTTCATGTCTGGAGAACAGATAAACTAATCACATTGATTATTATAAAAAAATACTTGAAAGATTTCATCCTTTGTTTACTTTTTTATTAGATAAGCTTAGGGACTACTTTGCCAAATACGGAGATATCAGTGAATGTGTAATTATGCGAGATCCTATAACCAAACGATCAAGGTAAGTAATAGAAAAAATAATCAAATTTGTATCTGAAACTGACAATGCAAAAATGTATGTGTATTATCTTGCATAAGAATTGATGATTATAGTCTGCACTTTGTAGAAATCTATTTTCTGTAAACATATCACTCAGCCTATATGCAAGAACATTTCATATTTAACCTTCAAACTCAAAAATACAAAACAAATTTGCATATAGAATATCATATCAACTGCATATTATTGGTTCCGTATTTAACATATCATTATTAGGTCATAAAGCTTTAGAAATTTACGCAGACTATTTATGAATATAGGTTATAATTTATATTAATTCTTTGTCAGGTTATCTCAAGAGGAACATTATTCTTGAGAGAAAGTTTTAAAATCTTGAGATATATTTACAGAAAATTTCACAGTGCGTGTAAAAATGCAAAATTATTTATTGTTGTTACCTTTAGATTTTCATCAAACTCTTATACATATAAACAAATTATGTTCTTCAATGAAAACCTCCTCGTCACCACTGTTAACTTCTTGAATGATTTCTGAACAAGAAGTAAATAATACACTTGGGTTTTAAACAAGTGTAAATAACTTTAATTCTGGAACTCAAACTTACACACATTTCGCAGCAAGCTTTCTGTATTCTAAGATGGTCATCAAAAAGATACACCGATAGGTGGCACACTAACAACAGTTACTTTAGTTCTCAGTCCGCAACAGAAATGAGTTGAAGTTTAAATTATTTAAAATCCTGGATCTTGCACTGATCAGATATCACCTTATATGTGTTGGGTTTTCCCTGTTTTATCCCACATAGACATCCTTCCTATGGCCTTGTTAACAGACAGATGACTGTGTTTTAGAATTCTGAAAACCATCCAATGGTGTTGACCATGATCTTATTGTTTATAATTGTACTCTGAATGAAACCTCACTATTAGAAAATACTTCTAATAATAGTAACATTGGCAAACTTTGAAAGCTCTAAAATAGGACCAACAATTTTGGGTAAGGCCATGCTACTTTGCGAAGCACGTATAGAAGTGGGGGAGGGCTGATATTTAAGATTTTTGTTTCGAAATGCTTGACTATACGCATTTGCATAGAATTTAAATAAAAATTTCTTCAATTGCGTATTATCAGAAAACAGAAAGAACCAAAACTCAAATTAATGTATTTAATCACAATTTCTAGGGTTGACACATATTATGTCCAAAGTACTTTCAATGTTAAATATTTTTAATCAAGTTATTAGCTTTTTTCAATCAAAAATTAAAATGAGGTAAACAATTCCTGGCAAGTAACAGACATAAAATATACTGTTCATGTATTGTTTTACATAGACCTTTAAATTGTTAATCAATTAAAGGATTTTCATATCAAAAGGTCAGTAAATTAATGAAAACATATCTGTTGCAGTCTTTACAGTCTACTGGGTGTTAATAACTAACGTTATCCTTTTAAATTAAAGCTAATTCAATGTTTTATTTTTTTTGTGATTTTTCAAAACTATATTATTAGATACTGCAGATTGAAAATCCAGAACATTTTTCAAGAATTGATTACAAATACATGAAGGGCTCATCAAATAGACCAAATCAAATAAATTATGGTCAGCTTCCAATAAAATATATGAAACTGTTTTTGATAATTGATAAATTACAAGCTTGTTATGACAAAAGTTACTAAATGGATTATAAGCCAATATCAGGCCTATTCTAAGAATATAGGATCTGCTGTATTTTTAATGCGTCAGATAAACTAGTAATTAGTGTGAAAAGTGTTTTTTTTTTTTTCATCCTCTAATTTTTAATTGGCAAAATATGTAATTAAGATATTAAATTTTATAATTCAAATGTGGTATCTCAACACATACAGTATGGCGATTTAAATGACGTTTCTTCAAGTTGTACTTTGTTTATGGATTCGTCATTTTAAAATTATAGCCGCACCTAATTGTACTATTATTTCTTTTAAATTTTTAAGTTTCCATAGCAGCAAAGATAACTAGGTTACTGTGGCGTGGTGTTATAGTCTCTGTAATCGTTGTCAATTTTCAGATGAATTTTCACTCTACCATTGATAAACAAATTACAATATCAAGGTTTATGCACCTAGTCAATAACTTATTCAAACATTACCATTTGATATGCTCCTATACACTTGGTTCAACTCATTTTAAAAGTCCATCAATATCATATAATTCTATTTCAAATTCAATAGTATTACTATTATACAAATTTAAGTATGTCGTAAATTTCTGGAATCTACCAATGTACTTTTTGATGTTCTTAGAATTAATAAAGCGTAGTTTCCCAAATATTCACTATCACAAAATTTGGTTTTTAATGTTACATTCAGTATAGACTTCTTTATTAACTGGTTTTGTTTTGCACCAAAAGCTACAGCCAAGAGGTTGCTGGCCAAGCTTGGCCCTTGTTGAATCAATAAAGAACACATGTTTTCTAGGAATATGATAAATATTGGACATGTGACATAACTCAAACACAGTAATCTATTTTTTAATATAACTCACAGTGTACAGCTACAAAAAAAGACATCTGACACTGCAGTGAGTAAGCATTACATTGTGCTCGGGTTTTGATAGACATTAACGCCACATCTGTGCTTGTCTGCTTGATGCCTGCCCTCTATATTTTTTTACGTGGCCATGGCTACAGTTGGAAATATTCTTTATGATTTGAGAGCTGTTAAATGTTTAATATCTACGCATTGTATCGCATATTAAGTGGCGCCAATTTATCAAAAACGTCCCACTTCATTTCAAAGCTTTACCATTTTCGGAAATAATTTTTAAAAGGTCAGCTGAATTCACCCAGCACTAGGCTACTACCCTGAAGACAAACTTGTATGTTAAATTAGACGTAGGATAGTGGGTTGAATTGCCCAAATGTGCAATATATACCCGTATAAAATATAATTCAAATATTATACCATTTTTATTTTAAATCAATACAGAATTTTTTAATGAAGTCATCATTTTTTAAAAGTCTGTCAGTGTGTCCGATGTATTATTCAAGCTTCAATTTAATTTGGATCTATCAATATTACTAACAAAATCAATATTTTCTTTCAATTAAATATTATCAAATAAATAATTAAGATTTCTTATCAGATAAATAATTAAAATTTCATTTAAGATTTCTTTGTTATAAAAGGTCAGTAAATATGTGTATCATTTATTATTGAGGCTTTTAAGTAAAAATAGAACATCTGTCTATTTGATATTACATTCTAATTAAAAGTCTTTTAATTTTGTATAAATGTCATCTATTAATTTCAGATGGTTATTTAGGGTTTTGTCCAATAGTTTGTTTTTTTGTTAAATCTGTTTACTTGTTGTTAATGTAACACTCTAATAGTGAAATACAAAATATTCAGTTACTAAAATATTTAAACAATGGCATAAACAATTAGACTATAAACTATTTTCAATCATATAGACACTGCTTATCAGGCATGTATTTTCCCATTGAATATATATACCAGGAACGGTACAATATCGACATCATTAGGTAACTTGGCGACTATAAATATATTGAACCACAAAGAATTTCTTTGAACTTTGAACCCATATGATACACTGTCCACAATTACCAATGCCCAAATGTCAAATTTATGAGTGGAATACAACTGATACTCTAGTTTACCGTAGATAGTAGGTGGAGTATTTAAAATAAATTTTAAAATTTCTGATCGTTTCTGACATTTACAATTGGTGCTCCTGGTACTATAGTATTACTGTAGTAGTCAATGTTATTCATTTATTAATAATTCATAAATCATTTAATAAAATATAGGTTGTATAGTTTTTTTTTGGATTTTTTGAAATGTATTTAAATATCATTAATTATAATGTGCTGTATTGTAGATGAATTTCTGTCTACCAAACTATTGACCATATTCAATTTATTCAGTTTCCTTTTTGAATAAGTATATAGAGTGGTAGAGCTCTGCATTAAGAAAGTGTAACATTGAATAAAGATTAATAGCTTTATTCATTTTCTAGATTTTTAATATATGACCTTCAATTTTCAAATTTTATAACAATCTATAGGGTATACAAATTATTATATGCCTTTGTTAGAGCTGGCTGGTTAATAGAGTACAACAAATTACTGTCAAAATAGCTCTCTAGGCAGGTAGTCGATGATAAATAACCACAAAATTATGAAATCTAAATAATTTATAAGAATATTTCACTTTAAACAATTTAAATACAAGATGTTGATGATATACAGTGCCACAGACCCAAACTAGTGCATAGTCTTTATAGGTACAAGGGTAATACCTTTGTAGCAAACACTCTGACTTGCTCTGACAGCCAGTAATGGTGATTTCAAATACAAATAAAATTTTATTTTTTTCCTGTTACTGAAGTGCGCTCTCTGCCACGAATAAATAGAAATGAATTTTGTTTAAATGTTAAATTTTTTATTTGTTTTTATTTTAACGTCCTCCACTTCCTTGAAATCAACAAATATAAGATATTGATTCTTCCTTAATTATATAAATTTTAAGCATTTATAAATTGCATTACTGCACTGTTTACATTCACAAATAAAATGATTTTTTTTCTCTTCCACCTAGATGCTTGTGGCAAAACCATTTTGCTACATAAGAAAGATTATTTTTTTACCCTCTGAAGTTCTTAAAAAAAACTGTTGCTAAATAAGGTATCAAAAAGGGCACGCCTAACTGTAATGTTTCTAAGTACACTTTTTCTTAGAATGTGTTCAGTGGAACCTTGGGGGAATTATGTAAGATCCAGTTTATACCGTATAATCTTGTAGGGCCTTCATAAATTCAAGATATTTTATGATATCACATAGACTGTTCAAAATATATGCTTGAGAGTATAAAGTTATCATTGGATACATTAATATTCCAATAGTTTTTTTCCTAGTATAGATTTATACATAGTATGCTCTAATTCACAATACCTTGTGAATCAACAGTATCATCCAAATTCATTAAGAGATGCCCTGTCT